ATATCTTTTAGTCTGGTTAATTCTAGTCTTTATTTTTTTTAATTGATACTTCGTATTCAACAAATCGGCCCATTTGGGCCGACTATAAAATAATATTTTGATCAGATAAAAAATCATTTACTGCTGCTATCCATTCCAACACGTATTATTAGATATGTATTCTGCCTATAGATGAGTTTTTATAAAGAAGTGAGCACTTTTGCCTCATAGCCATATCGTTTTGAAATTGGTCGGTTTTTCAAAAAAATCAATCGGCCCATTTGGGCTGACCCTTTGATGAATAAAGTGATATAGCAACTCGAAGCTTTGTTATTGAAAAAAAATAAAAATATTGTAGACATAGTTATGAAGAATTATTTTTAATAAATCTGGCGAAGCCAGGCAGTCTTCAAGTGTTGATTATGACAGTCGAAGCACAAGGGGATTGTGGGGTCACAACTACAAAATTTTTCAACCCGTTTGCCATTAGTGCCGCTTTCTTTGCATTTACGGCATACCAATCTCTTTCTTTTGTTGCCTGCATTACTCATGGAGACGTATGAATGGTTAGAATCACTTCTAAGCATTCAGTTGCTGCCTTGGGCCACTTCATTGTATCTTGACTTCAATTCCTTACAATGTTCAAGCAAGTTGAAGGCCAAATTATCCTTAAAGGACGAGTGGCCCCTTGAGGCACTTTCCTCAGAGAAGACCCTGAAGGAACTGTATGCGTTCGCTTCACAAAGGCTCAATAAGAAACCAAAGAAGCGCATTTCCCATCTCTCGGTTGAGATAATGTCGTGATAAGAGGTCAGATTATCACGTAAATTATTTGCAGCATCCACAGAACCTCTAGATCTGTTTAATACTATAAAAAATAATTTAAAAAACTCAACGAAATAAAAATACAGGTCTTAAGCTTTGTAGTAATCACACGCGTCGTGTAAACTGAGAAGGTCTGTCCAATAAAAAAAATGTAGTTTATATCGGCCCATTTGGGCCGACTAAATCTTTACTTGTTAATAAAAATACAGTATGCTGAAGTCCTGAATTAATTGGCTGATCCTTCTGGTATGTCGTGTTTGATCATGTCTAATACTAATCTTTATGTATGAAATTACATTTGACTTAATTGTTTTATATTGCCAAAAAAAAAAACAGGTCAATACTTTTAGGGCTCTTTTATTCGATAATATAAGCTCCCGTTAAAAGGGTATTTGTAGTCAATGATTTGAAAGTCTACTACGTAACTAGTATCTACATGCTTGATGAATTTATCTGTGGCTGATTATGATTCTACTCTCTTAATAACACTATGTTGTCTATAGGGTTATCGTTGGGGGTCTAAATAGTAGATTTATTCTTTGACGTGCTAATGCTATTGTTGATTACAACATTAATTAGTACACCGGTCACTTTTGGAAAACCTAATTTCTTTTTGCTATGAGTTCTTCCTCTCACTTTTAATAAAGGGTAAAACAGAGACTCGTCACTTCTTTGCTTTGATTCTATACATTACACCAGTGCTAACAACAACAACTATAAAATTACAACCAATACTTCAGCTGGTGGTGACGCTGTTTTACTTGGATGCTCTTTAAAGAAGTGAACAAATCGAGGAACTACTAAAAAGATATTTCTTGAGCATACCCATTTTCTTATTTCTTCCTTCGCCCACGCTGGAAATGACACTATGGACATTTATTAATCACTTCAAATGCTTTGTAATTTTTCTTTTTATGATTTGAACAAGTACGAAAAAATAACGATAAGTTTTGAATGATGGCTACTGTATTTATAATTGAATAAACGATCCCTTCAGCTCAGCTCAGTTTCCTTGACGTGTGTGTAATGGTATGTGTCTGAATGTAACTTCATTTAGCAATCAAAAGGAACAATAAATGGAGTTTGGAAACAGAAAAAACTCATTGGTCAGTCAATCCTTTAGTTCGTTGTACGCATAAATGACTGAGTTTACATTTTTAGTTAGAGAAAAATGATGTAAATCTTACAAAAATGACATATTTTTATAAAATGAAAAGAACCTATGTGGAGCGAATAGGAAACAATGATCGAGATTATGCTTTTACAAATCGACGCCTCCCCTATGCACCATTTGGTGTACATAACATCTTATGCAGTTACACAGTCCCGCATTTCTGAGCTTAAATAAAAGTTTATAAGTGCTTTCACTTTTTATTTCTTTTTTCTTTTACTTTACATATAAATATAAAATGACAAAAAAGCAATTTGTAGGCGCAATTGATCAAGGTACTACATCTACACGATTTGTTATATTTGATGAAAATGGAAAAATGTTGACTTACCATCAAATGGAATTTGAGCAGCATTATTTACATCCAGGGTAAAGATAAGAATTATATACAGCCTTCCTTTATACTAAATATATCAACAAGATGGGTGGAACATGATCCTTATGATATCCTGGCCTCTGTTGATACTTGTATAGAACATGCTATAAGAAAGCTTTCCATATTGGGTTATGATGCGTCCTCAATTTCTTGTGTTGGTATTACAAATCAACGGGAGACCACAGTGGCCTGGGACAGTGAGACAGGGCAGCCCCTATGTCCTGCTATCGTTTGGAGCGATGGTAGAACAGCAAAAACTGTACAAGAACTAGCCTCACAGAAGCATTTACCAAAAGAAAGGCAGGGAGTGGATGCACTCAGAGGGATCTGTGGTTTGCCAATTACCACGTATTTTTCTGCTGTGAAATTAAAATGGATGCTTGATCATGTGCCTGAAGTGAAGCAAGCGCATGATCAAAACAGATTACAGTTTGGAACAATTGATACCTGGCTTATATACGTAAGTTTCATCTTGAGATATATCAAAAAATTAATCATGCATTGTAGAACTTAACTGGTGGCGTAGAAAATAACGGTGCTCTAGTCACTGATGTGACAAATGCAAGTAGAACCATGTTGATGGATATTAACACGCTTCAATGGAGCAATGAAGCAATCAAGTATAGTTGCATATTTATTTACATGCACACATTAATGCTGTATTCTCTCTTGATAGCTTCTTTGGATTTAAAGGAATCAAATTAGCAAAAATTGTTCCTTCTTCAAGTATTTATGGCAAGATACACAGTGGTTCATTAAAGGGTGTTCCAATTGCTGGATGCTTAGGGGATCAACAAAGTGCACTGGTGGGACAAAAGTGTTTCCATGTTGGTGATGCTAAAAACACCTATGGCACGGGTTGTTTCATGCTCTTCAATACTGGAGAATCTCCTGTTTTATCAAGAAATGGCTTATTGACCACAGTAGCTTATCAATTTGGCAACGACAAACCTAGTTATGCGCTTGAAGGGTCTGTTGCTGTAGCCGGATCATCTATACAATGGCTACGTGACAGTCTAGGCATCATTGATGAAAGTAAAGAGATTAGTTCATTAGCTGAAAAGGTAGAGGATACAGCAGGGGTTTACTTTGTTACCGCTTTCACTGGGCTGTTTGCACCTTACTGGCGAGATGATGCTCGTGGTACAATCTGTGGCTTGACACAATTTACAAAACGAGAGCACATTGCACGTGCAACTTTGGAGGCTGTCTGCTACCAGTCGCGAGCGATTCTGGAGGCTATGAACAAGGATTCAAAAACGCCTCTGCGATCGCTTAAAGTGGATGGTGGTGTATCAAATTCAGATATATGTATGCAAATTCAAGCGGACATATTGAATATTGAAGTCGATCGACCACAGATGAGGGAGACTACTGCTTTGGGTGCTGCAATAGCAGCAGGTATTGCTACTGGTGTCTGGAAGAACATAGATGAAGTACACAAGGTAAATACTGAAGGAAGAACTGTGTTCAAACCAAGGATCTCTGAGAAACAAAGAAACAAAATGTATACTGGATGGAAAGAGGCAGTGACGCGATCCCTTGGCTGGGCTAATGTAGTCAGTGGTATACTTGATGAAGAGGTGTAATAGCTATTTAATATCAATAAAGAAAGAGTCGTTTTCGATCGATTGTAGAACAGTCACAAGGAAGATGAGAAATACAAAGCGTCATTCATGCGCTTTTCCTTTTTTTTTTTTTTGGTTTTTTGGTTTTTCTTTAAAGAGCAATATGAATTATGAAAAAATAATAAAGTGGCTAAATGACCACGAAGAACAACTCCCTATTACTGCAACGTGTGGTTATGTGAAAAATATGATGATAGCATCCTTTAAAGATCTTACAAGTGCAGACGTCCCATCTGTATTGCAAAGTATATTAAGCAATCCTCGGATTCTACTGACCTATTACCGAGAGAATGATGCGTTGGCTATTGCAACTCTTGTTTCTGGAGCGGCTACAGCCATCCATTATTTGTCGGCTGAAATATTCAAGGATTACAGTCAAGTGGGTAAGTGAATAAAGAATAAAAGACAACGTGTTGTTCACACACCAAGCAGATCGAGCCTGGTCTATTTTGCCTATTCTTTATGCATGGCATTTTACGATCCATGACTATTTGACAAAGGAAGTTTTCAACCCCAGACTTGTAATTGCAAGCATTCTCATCTCTATATGGGGTAGTCGCTTAACCTTTAATTTTGCGAGGTAAGACAATAACGACAATGCCTATATACACGTACTTACATAACAACAGAAAGGGTGGTTATTATCGCGATGGACAGGATTATCGATACTTGTACATTAAAGAAAAAATTGGTGGTGTTTTGATGGCCATACTTAATCTTACTGCTATCGCGCCCTTCCAAGATATTTTGTTGTTGCTCATCTCTAGTCCCTTATACATTGTCTCCAAGGTTTCAAACAAGTCTGTGGCTTTATCAACATTTGACTGGATTATTGTCTCTTTGCATCTTAGCTTTTTGCTTATAGAAGCAGTAGCCGATGAGCAGCAATATGCATTCCAGACAGCAAAGCATGCATTATTGGAATACTTGCAACCTTCTCAGCTAAAGGACGATTATAAGCATGGATTCTTATGGCACTCTGGGTTATTTCAATACAGTCGTCACCCTAATTTCTTTGCGGAAATGTCAATGTGGTGGGTTATTTATTTGTTTTCTGTATCTGCCATACAAGAGGCCACTGGGATACTTCATGTCGGAAGTTTCTTTAATTGGACAGTCATTGGTCCCATTCTATTAACACTCTTATTTCAAGGAAGCACTTCACTTACAGAGGTATGATGATCCTTTAATTATTGGCATAATGTTAACTATCGATTTAAAATAGAGAATATCAGCTAGTAAATACACAGATTACAAGATATATCAAAAGTGTGTCAACAGGTTTATTCCTTGGTTTCCTTCTGATGAGCAGCATTTGAAGCAAGACTAAGGGGACAGGATCGATAAATAAAGTTTACTCTGCATATTCATCGTCAGTATCACTATTAACGTCTGTTATTGTTTCATCTTCGTCTTCTTCTGATGGTTCTCCTCTTGCTTTTAAACTAAAAAGGTAATCGTTGAATTAAGCAGTAAATATGAAAAGCAATATTTCTTACATTGACACAATGTCGTCTACGATATGTTCATCTTGTAAAACTTTTTCATTTGCTTTATTTTTTACTTGTTTTGCCTCATCTTGGACAGCTTGATTATGTCTTTTGATCTTTAATTGGTTTTTATTTTCTACAGTGCGATCATCTTGTGTAGCTTTATCATGTCTTTTGCTTTCTGGTGTCTTCACTTGCTTTTCATCTATCGCGTGACCACGTCTTTTGCTTTCTGTTTGCTGATCTCTGTCTCTCCTTTTCTCAGCTACTTTGATATTTTCTTTCTCGCCAACCTTCTCTTTCTTATTCTTTTCTATATTATTTTTTGTATCCACTTTAGCTTTCTTTCTTTTAGGTTCTGGTTCTGGTTCATCTTCAAGGCTTATGTAGTTTCCTGATAGCTGCACTGTGCTTTATAGTATTTAATTTTCCTTTTCTTTTTCAATAATCGCACTTACTTTTTTCCTTTAATAACAAAGGTCACAGTTTCCCCTTCTAAACGAGTAAAGTTTAACAATTGTTGATCTCTCTAACAAAATAAGAATACGTGTTTAAAGGATAAAAAGTGTCTCTTACTGTGCAAGGTATTAAACTGCATAAAAGAATCTTTTGTTTCTTAGTCTCTACATATAACGAAGTGCGTTCAAGGCTCTTGAAAGATCTTAGAGAAGCCTTTTACATAAGTGGTTAAAGGTTATTTCTATATTCTTATAAACTAATTACCATCGTCAGTTGAAAGGATCCACCTGATTTTATAGTGATTCTACTTCGGGGGCGCACTGTGATCCCTAAACGATATATTTAGTAATGAGAACGAATACATAGTTTGAGTTATACCATATATTCCTTGGATCTTCATGATCTAATTGATGGATCCCTTTATGAAACAAAAGCTTGACTCTACAGTGGAGAATAAAAGTTTTTTTTTTTTCTTTTTTGGAATAAACATGAAAGAAGCTCATTCGGTTCTTGAATTTACCTTTTTTTCTGCTTTTTATTTTGTCCATATTGCTATGAAAAGGGATGCTACGGCTCCTACGGATCGACATTCTCTTAAACGTCCCTTAACGACAGAAACTGAATCTTCCAATAAGGAAAAGATATTTTCATTGTCAAAAAAGAAGAGTGAGCGGCAACAGATAGTCACAAAACTCGAGACATATTCATGCCCGATATGTGAAGTTGACCTGACGGATATCAAGTCGAGCTATCTACGTCAAAAACATGTAGAGGAATGTATGGATAATCCATATGATGAAAGCATAGACGCATTAGACTGTTTTTTCTGTGGAAAGGTTTTATCGCACATGAATATGGCAAGAAGACAGATTCATATCAATCATTGTTTAGACAACGTTGAAGAGGAATTAAAGAAAAAGAAAAATGGTCAATTATCTTTACTAGAGACACTGACTATTTGCCCTGTCTGTCATGAGTCTGCTCCATTTGATCGTCGTTGCTTGAAACAGAAAATTGTTCATATCAAACAGTGTCGCTGTTTATTCAATTTATCGATGCCCCAGTTGATCCAAAGGCTTAGATGGACAGGTTGGGGACATACACCCATTGTTAATAATAACAATAATAATACCTCAAATGACATCCAAGTGGCTGACAATAATAGCTACAACAAAAATAGAGTGACACATGAGCTTCGTGCTGTAGACTGCTCAACATTTGATGATGACGATAACTTTGCGAATAATATAATTGTTAGTAGAATGAACCAATCCCTATGGAAACCACAAACGTCAGATAAATCAGACGACGATATTCAAATGGCACTGGCATTATCTCGTTCACTACATACATCACAAAAACGTAAAGTCGTCAAGGACCTGAATGCTTCCAATATTTGGTCTGTAGAAGAATCCAAGCAAAAGGCCTATGAAAAACTTGACTTGATCTTATTTCCTGATGATCAATCAGAATTAATCCAACAAGAGCGTGAAAGGTCTATTGGATCTATGGGATTATCAAGCATAAAGACAATAGAAAAGAATGTACGAAATATATCATACTGGAAGCTTCCAAGTATCGGCGATCAAGATAATAATTCTATTTTCGTATCAAATTTTATTCACCAGATACGCATTAAGAAATAAACATTTTTTCTCTCTTTCTCCCTTATTTATTATGTCAACCGTAGATTATTCAAACAACTGGCGCAGAAAAAGATTGGCCAATTACAATAATGAGCCATCAAAGGCCGATGTTTCTTCTAATTGGAGATCTAATAGAGATAACCCTGTCATACCTGATGCAGTGCCAAATCGTACTAACCGAAAGAACAATAATAATGGGAAAAAACAAGACATGAAGCCTTCTCATGAACAATTTGACTGGAGTGATCCTGAGGAAATACATCCAAACGGAGGCCATACAAAAGTAAGCACAGTAAACGATTGGAATGAGTTTTCGAAGATGAGTGCGCAACAGTCCACATCAGACAACGATCAATGGAATGACGATTGGACTCAGAGACCAACACCTGAAAAAACAGTAAAAAAGACATGGGAAACAGAAATCACTTGGGACCTAGACATAAATATAATGAAGAATACATTCTCAAACGAGGCTTGTGAGTGCGGAAACATTGTTTTTTTTTTTTTAGTAGCTGTTATTCATCATTCTTCCTCATAGATAACCAACCCCGCAAGCATGAGGAGCCAGAATATGTTCACCAAGATGATAGAAATAAATTTGACAGACGACAAATGTTTAATCCATACATAAGCCCAAAGGAAATAGAGGATGGTCTGAACAATGGCACATTATATCAAGGTGAGATGAGGTTATCAAGGAATAGACAAGACGCCTATGTAAAATGCGATGATCTGGATTCAGATATATACATTGGTGGATCCAGAGACCGAAATAGAGCACTTCAGGGTGACTTAGTGGCCGTTCGTATGCTGGATGTAGATACCATTTGGGAGCTGAGAAAAATACGTGAGACTGAAAGAGCTGAAAAGCGAAAGCTGCATAATAATAGTACAGATGTCGCACAAGATACGGAAGATCAGCCTGATTCAGACATGACAACCCAGAGTGAAGATGAAGAAGAACATAAGCCCAAGTATGCTGGAGAAGTAGTTGCGATCCTATATAGACCAGAACATACAACATATTCTGGGTAAATTATTGTGCCCCCTTTTTTAGGTTTGGTATTGATGCTCATTATCAATAGAACAATTGTGCTCACCAAACATAAGGAAAGTAACGAAAATAACAACGGAAATGAAGAAAACAACGTACAATGCGAAGAACAAAAGGAACTACCTCGTGTTGTTTGGTTTAAGCCGACAGACAAGAGAGTACCACTCATTGCTCTCTTTGGGCGTGAAATTCCAAGTGATATTCGTGAAAATGAGGAGTACTACAAGAGTCACTTATTTGCTGTAAGCTCGCTTTTAAACGTCTTTTAAAACAATATCTTAACCATATTAGGCTGAAATTCGACGGTGGCAAATTACAGATACTAATCCAGCAGGAAGAATCGTAAAGGAGATTGGTCCGATAGGTTATCTCGCTGCTGAAAAAGCAGCTGTTTTAGCAGACAACAGTATCATTGACGCGGATTTTTCTCCTGTTGCGCTTCATAGCCTACCAGAACTTCCCTGGAGCATACCTATGGTTGAATATAAAAATCGTCTTGACCTTAGACGAGAACGTGTATTCACGATTGATCCATCAACTGCAAAAGATCTTGATGATGCATTACACATCAAGCCCATGAAGGACGGCAATTACGAGGTTGGCGTCCATATTGCGGATGTCACTTACTTTTTAAGACAAGGGACACCTTTAGATAGTGAAGCAGAGTGTCGTGGAACAAGCACATACCTAGCAGATAAGGTCATTCCTATGCTTCCTAGTGTACTATGTGAGGAACTCTGTAGCCTGAACCCTGGTGTAGAAAGGCAAGTTATTATTATATGTATCAACTTGTTTTCTATCCATGAACCGTTAACATACTTTTCTCAGGCTCGCATTTTCAGTTTTATGGATTATGGATAAAACAGGCAAGATAAAAAGGAAATGGTTTGGAAGGACGATCATAAGGTAATTAGACTTGCCACTGTTTCTGTATGATAACATCCTATTATTAGATCTTGTGCCAGACTAGCGTATGAACATGCTCAAACAGTCATTGAAGGTGGCAGGCTTCCTGACAGTGTTTTACTATATGGTGATCATACGACGGAGGGCATCGAATTTGATATACGTACGCTATATGAGATATCTGTACATATGCGTCAAAGAAGAAAAGACGGTGGATCGCTGTCCTTACATTCAGTCAAACTCAGATTTGAACTAGACCCCAATGGTGATCCTGTTTCTTTCTATCGAGCAGAATCCAAGGAAGCAAATAAACTTGTGGAAGAATTCATGTTATGTGCTAACATATCAGTAGCAAACAAGATCCTGTCTGCTTTTCCTCAAGAAGCATTTCTACGTCGGCATGAATTACCTATCGAAAGACGACTTGTAAGAACAACTGACTATTTGCTGATCCTTGCTAATAACTTGGCCTCATAGGACGCATTTCTTAAGCTCACCGATGCGATCGGCCTAGATTTTGACGGTAGCACGGCTGGCACTCTCCAAGCATCTTTTAATAAGATTGATAATCCCGATGTTAAATCCGTTTTGCTTGTGCTGTGTATTCGTACGATGCAACGAGCGAAATACTTTTGTTCGGGTGCTTTTGGTAAGGAGAAGTATCTTCATTATGCCTTAAACGAGCCTGTCTACACACATTTTACTTCTCCTATTCGTCGGTATGCTGATGTAGTGGTTCATAGAATGCTGAACGCAGCACTCAATCATAAACGTAAATACACGGATATAAAACGTATAGCATCTAACGTGAATGACATAGCATGTGGTTACCAAAAGAAGCTTGTTCAAAAGATTGCCTTCTCCTGCAACGAGAAGAGAACAAGAGCCAAGAGCGCAGAAGATGCCGATGCAAAACTTCATTTGGCCAATTATCTATACAAGTACGAATATGAGCATGGTCCAATCTATAAAAAGGCAGTGGTGATTATGACAGGAAAGAGCATGTTTGAAGTTTATGTTGAAGAATACGGGCTTGAGGCAAAGATATACATGCAAAGTCTGCCTGTGCATAAATTCAGTTTTGACAAGAGTACGTTGCAACTGGTTATATTTTGGAAAAAGGATACTCCAGTGACGATGCATAGCGAAGAAAAGGCTTATGCACAAGTAAAAATACGACAAGATGATCACAGTAGCGATGAAGACGAAGGGGAAGACGATGTAGAAGACGATATGGAGAAACTGTTACAAGATAATCTGGAAAACTTGAAGATTTCAACACAAAAAAAGGGGATCAAGAGTACATCCGATTTGATCCCACCCGAGATGATTGATGCTTCAGCATGCACGCAAACCATACAGATGTTCTCTTTGATTGATGTTCGTATCCAAGTGAATATAGATGCATCACCTCCCTTTATTAATGTTTATCCAGTAAATCCATTTGCTGAGAAATAAAAATAGTCCTGCTTAAAGAGAGCATGTGCTTATAAAGTTATCAATTTGTGGATGAAGAAAGATACTGAGCAAAACATAATTGACTTTAGTGTATTTAACTCGCTATAAATTAGTATTTATAAAGAGAGGTCAATAAACAGAAGAAGACAGTTCAATAGTGTGATCTAGATATCTCTCTTTCTATACAGCTATCAAACTCTCTCTTTTTCCTTTCGGTAGCCATAGAAACGTAACATGTAGAAAAAAGTAAAAGAGAACAAAAAAGAAAGCATTGACACTACCCGTCTTTTTGTGAGTCATCATCAACATATTTAAAAAGGGAGAACTACCAAATTAAGAATAAAAATATATGACAAACATAATGGGAAAAATTCATAAAACAGAAAGGCTGCTGTCGGAGTAGTCAAATATACAATGACAAATACACTATACCACTCTCCTCTTCTTCTACGCCCTTCCTTCTCGCTTGACTCTTTCCTTGGAACAGTTGCATTTACACTATGACAACCATCGAATAATTAATTCAACATTGACTTGTGTACGTTCAAATTTTGTCAATCCACAGAGTCACATGGCAGAAGCTTCTCATAGGCCGATTTTCTCCCCCACATTTTCATGTGAAAGTGTAGAGTATAAATTTTCCTTCCCTATTTTTTTTTTTTTTTTCTTCCTTAACAACTAAAGAAAAAATATGCCAAAGGATATTCGCTTTGATGGACGAGTTGCTATCGTCACTGGTGCCGGTGGAGGTTAGTTTGAGCTACGAACAAGTATATATGTGTGTTGTTTACCTTGTTTTATTTAGGCATCGGTAAGGCTTACGCCCTGTTCTTTGCCAGCCGTGGTGCTAGTGTCGTCGTCAATGACCTCGGTGCCTCTCACACAGGCGACGGTTCAAACACGAGAGCCGCTGATGTTGTTGTTGAAGAAATCTTGAAGAATGGCGGTAAAGCAGTTGCTAATTACAACTCTGTCGAAGATGGTGCCAAAATTGTCGAAACTGCTATGAAGGCCTTTGGACGCGTTGATATTATCATTAATAATGCAGGCATTCTCCGTGATAAATCATTTGCAAGAATTACAGATGCTGACTGGGATATTATCCAAGCTGTTCACGTAAAGGGCTCTTATGCAGTTACTAAAGCTGCTTGGCCAATCATGAAGAAGCAAAAGTACGGTCGTATTATCATGACTGCCTCTGCTGCTGGTCTCTACGGTAACTTTGGTCAGGCCAACTATAGTGCTGGTACGTGTATATGCTTGTGTGTCTACTATTTGCATCGTTTTTTTCTAATCTTATTCTTTATAGCTAAACTTGCTCTTGCAAGCTTCAGTAACTCTTTGGCTAAGGAAGGTGCCAAGGATAACATCCACTGCAACACCATCGCCCCAATGGCCGCTTCTAGAATGTATGTGTTCCCAAAACAAACAAAAAGAAAATCCCGTTTTTGACTTTTTCACGACATAGGACTGAGACTGTCATGCCCCCAGAAATTCTCGCAGCCCTCAAGCCTGAATATGTTACCCCTGTTGTTGGCTATCTTTGTCATGAAGAAACCGAAGAAACCGGTGGCATCTTTGAAGTTGGCGGCGGCTTCGTCTCCAAGTTAAGATGGGAACGTTCTCCTGGCGCTGTCTTCAAGGCTGATGAGTCCTTTGACCCCTCTGCTGTTGCAGCCAAGTGGAACGAGATCACTGATTTTGAAAAGAACAACGAATACCCTACCTCCGTCATGGACACAGACTTTATGGCTCTGCTCGAGCGTGCCAAACAAGCTCCTCCTAACCCTAAAGGTGAACCCTTAAGATTTGATGGCCAAGTTGCTATTGTCACTGGTGCCGGTGGTGGCCTCGGTAAGGCTTATGCCTTGCTCTTTGCCAAGCTTGGTGCTTCCGTCGTCGTCAACGACCTCGGAGGTTCTACTCATGGTCAAGGCTCAGACAGCCGTGCTGCTGATCTTGTCGTTGAAGAAATCCGTAAGGCTGGTGGCAAAGCCGTTGCCAACTATGATTCTGTTGAAGAAGGTGAAAAGGTCGTCGAAACCGCTCTCAAGGCCTTTGGTCGCATTGATATCATCGTCAACAATGCCGGTATTCTTCGCGACAAGTCCTTTGCGCGTATGACGGATGAAGATTGGGATCTTGTCCACAGAGTTCACTTGAGAGGTACATACAAGGTCATCAAGGCTGCATGGCCTTACTTTGTCAAGCAGAAATACGGTCGCATCATCAATACTGCTTCTGCTGTCGGCTTATACGGTAACTTTGGTCAGACCAACTACAGCGCTGCCAAACTTGGTATCGTCGGTCTCACTCGCACATTGGCCCTTGAAGGACAAAAGAAGAACATTATCTGTAACGTTATTGCTCCTAATGCTGGTACTCGTATGACAGCTACCGTCATGCCTCCTGAAATGGTTGAAGCATTCAAGCCTGAGTATGTTGCTCCCCTTGTTGCTTACCTTGGCCACAGCAGCAACGAAGAAACAGGTAACATCTTTGAAGTTGGTAGCGGCTGGATCGCTCAAGTTCGTTGGCAGCGCTCTGGTGGTGTTGGCTTCCCTGCCAACCGTCCATTGGCTCCTGAACAAGTTGCTCAAGAATGGTCACGTATCTGTAACTTTGATGATGGACGTGCCACTAACCCCAACAGCACGCAAGAATCCTTCCAAGGCTTCATGGAAAACTTTAGTAATGTTGCTGACGAAGAGCCTAAGAATGAAGGTCTTCAGGTTCCAGACTTTGATGAGGTTTTAGAATTTTCTTATGGTGAAAAGGAAGTCATCTTATATGCCTTGGGTGTTGGTTGCAAGCGCACAGATCTTCAGTATGTCTATGAAAACCATGCCGACTTCTCTGTTTTGCCTACCTTTGGCGTCATTCCCTCCTTTAGTGCTATGAACTCGGTGCCTTTTGGAGACTTCCTTCCCAACTTTAACCCCATGATGCTCTTACACGGAGAACAATTCTTGGAAGTCAAGAAGCCCATTCCTACTAGCGGTACACTCAAGTCTAAGGCTCGTCTTGTCGAAGTGTTGGACAAGGGTAAGGGTGCATCCGTTGTGATTGGTGTTACTACAGTTGATGAATCTGGAGAAATTGTTTTCGAGAATGAATTTACCTTGTTCATCCGTGGCAGTGGTGGATTTGGTGGAAAGCAAAAGGGTGAAGACAGAGGTGCTGCTACGGCACCTAATAAGGTTCCTAACCGTAAGCCTGATGCCGTTGTCACTGAAAAGACAAATGAAGACCAAGCCGCACTTTATCGTTTAAGTGGTGACTATAATCCTTTACATATTGATCCTGAAATGTCATCCATTGGTGGTTTTGACGTTCCTATTCTCCATGGTCTTTGTTCATTTGGTGTCTCTGGTAAACACGTTTTGAAGACATTCGGTAAGAACAACCCCGAATCTTTCAAGAATATCAAGGCTCGTTTTGCCAAACACGTATTCCCCGGCGAGACGCTCGAGACATCGATGTGGAAGGAAGGTAATAAGGTCATTTTCCAAACACGAGTTGTTGAACGTGATGTCATTGCTATCACCAACGCTGCTGTTGAACTTCATCCTACTGGACGCGAAAGCAAGTTGTAAATTTCATCTATTCATCCTTCTCTTTTTTTTCTTAATTATGTGTAATTAAAATTTTGAAAAATAAACCTTTATTTTGTTTAAATGATCAACTGTCAAAACTTCTTTGCTTTTGTCCAATCGGAAAATATTCACAACATTACGTTTTTAGTATAAGGAAGAAAATTCAGCCGTTTGATCGTTGGACCCTATTCGGCTAAAGAAAAAAAAGGCTACCTCCAATAACATCTTTTTTCTTTCTGTTTATTATTATTTAAAATGACTCAAACATTAACATCTAAAGCCTTCATTTTTGACCTTGATGGAACTATTATTGATACTACTCCTCAAGTAGTCAAATTTTGGACAGAACTTGCTATTCAGAATGGCTTGGACCCTGAACAGGTAACCAAGAGCATTGATTAATAATCAATCATTCTACTTACACACGTCGATAGATTCTTGCTACTTCACATGGAAGACGAACAATTGAAACCTTGGAACGTTGGATGCCTCATTTAGCTACAAATGAATATGTCATTGAGCTTGAGACTAAACTGGCACAACAAAAGGAAGGCGTATCTATCCTTCCTGGTGTTTTGAATCTTTTTGAGGCGATTTCCCCAGATGATTGGACAATTAATACTGCGAGTACACACATGATGGCAACCGCTCGATTATTACAATTTGAGATAAAAGCACCTAAAGAAATGGCTACAGGGGATAAAGTAAATATTTTTCTTTTCTTTTGTCGTAGCACTCACATTGTTGTTCCTTTTTTTCATCTATAGTTAACCTTTGGTAAACCTCATCCAGAAGGGTATTTATTAGCTGCAAAGTTAATCAATAGAGATCCAAAGGACTGTTTGGTATTTGAAGACGCCCCAGCGGGTGTTAAGGCTGCTATTGCTGCTGGAATGCAGTGTGTAGCATGTACGACTACTCATACTGTCGAGCAATTGAAAGATGCTGGTGCAACGATTATTGTTGATTATCTGAGTAATGTTCGTATTGAAAAGCAATCAGATGGCACATACCACACTATTATAAATAATGCCCTTGCCTGAATAAAGAAAGAAATGTAGAACCATAAACAGCTTCTTTTTCTCTATACATATTTATTCATTTTTTATAATTGACCTTGCCAGGCACACAATCGACCATCCTCTCCTCCTGTTAGTATGCTCTGTGTCGAGTGATTCCAAAAGAGTGAGCGGACAATGTCTGAGTGCCCATAATTGCCTGCATTAAGCTGTTGACAGTGCTGCAGCTGTCCCAGATTAACATGGAAAAAGTCAACAATGCCCTCGATGCTTCCAGTTATTAAATAGAATCGCCTAGAGATAGGATCATAACTGCAATCGATAGCATAGTCAACCTTGGTTAATCCGATATTTCGAATGTCTCCGTAATCACATATTAAGTCACCTTCAAGCGTATGTAGTGAAAATGTTTCAATGTGTGTCATACAGTACAGATATTCTGCTTCAGGTCCAAAGTACCCAGTTTTGCTTACAGAAGATCCAGAATTGACTACAGAGACCAATGCTTCTTCTTCGTCGAAATCTGTAACGTCATAGTTATTGATCAATCCATCTGTTGAACAAGATAAAAATTGAGCGGGTAAAGTTGGATGTGATCTGATCTAATAGATGCAATTAAGAGAGAGGACAAACACTATGTTTACTACCATTACCTCTGTGATATCATCATTATGTGATTCAGTAAAGGTGTGCAATAAAGAAGTGTGTCGAGTATCAAAAAATGCTAAATCAACTGAATGATCGTCAAATGAGAGCTCAGTGCCTGCAATGGCCATAGTGTCATTGCAATTAATATCAAATGCAGTCAAAGGCTTTTTATCTATGTGGATATATCTCTTAGTTTTAATAAACATCTTGTTTCCTCCTCCTCTTACATTTGAAACATTGCACTGGTCCACTGCTAGTACGCAAATCCCAACGTTTGAGAGTGGAATCCTCGCTTACAGTAAAAAGATACTGATCACTCTTTAACTTCATTTGAGATATTTTGCAATCATGGGATCGTATTGTATGAGCTAATTGTAAAGTAGCAAGGTCATAGAGTCGAATAAAATTATCAGAAGCAGACGTGATTGCATATTGACTGTTTGCTGTGACATCAAACACGTATCCATCATTGTATCCAAGTTCAATATTTTTGATTAATTGAAAAGGTGGAAGAATGTTTGTACATGTTTGAACGTCAATAGTAGACATTTTTTTTTAAATAAAAAAGAAAAAAGTTTTTCTTTTTTTTTTTTTTTACTTTATATAAATATGCTTAGACCCAAGACATGTTTGTTGATTCAACATAATATTTTGAAACTAAAGCACAGTCGCATCATCACTACAATAGCAGCAAATTGTAACAATGCTTCTTCCACCCAAGCGTCGCCCTCTTCAACAGAACAAACAACATACAAAGGAACTAAATTTAAACCCATCACACAAGCTACATTATCAGATTTACCTAAACTGTACAAAGAGTTGTCTAAAGCAAAACTAGCTGGTTTAGTAGCATTAACAACAATGGCGGGTTATGCTATGGCCCCTGGCGCAATAGACGTATCAGCTTTACTTTGTACAACAGTTGGAACAGGTCTTTGCATTTCCTCTGCAAATGCCATCAATCAATGGATCGAGATTCCTTATGATGCACAAATGCTGAGAACAAGAAACCGAGTCTTGGGTAGACGCTCCCTAAGTCCCCTACACGCTTTCAATTTTGGTGTACTCTCGGGCACAGCGGGTGTCACAATACTTGCGACCATGGTGAATCCGTTGACAGCCATACTGGGTGCAAGTAATATCTTTCTATACACCATGATCTATACACCTATGAAACGCGCTTCAATTGCCAATACATGGGCTGGCGCTGTCGTAGGAGCCATTCCACCCATGATGGGGTGGACAGCTGTCACGAACAGTCTTGATATCGGTGCCTGGGTGCTTGGCGCAATTCTTTATGCGTGGCAATTTCCCCACTTTAATTCCCTGGCCTGGAATCTTCGAGCAGATTATTCAAAAGCAGGCTACCGTATGATGGCAGTGACAGATCCCAAACTAAATGCACGTGTTTCCCTAAGGTATTCATTAGCCATGTTTCCATTGTGCTGGAGTATGCCTTGCTTAGGTATGACCTCTTGGTTTTTTGCAGCTGATTCAACTATTGTAAATGCAGCATTATTATACGGTGCCTTTAAGTTTTGGCGTAAAAGGTACGTATATTGTTCAAAAACATAAGCAGCTCCTTACTCATTTGGATTTATATAAAGTGATGAAAAGAATGCAAGACACCTCTTTTTTGGCAGTACAGTTCATTTACCTATATTACTGGCTTTAATGATGGGACATAAAATGTATAATACTAATAATGATAATACTATAGAATTACATGAAGCGCAAGATGAAGAATAAAAATGCGTTTATTTATACTATTTACATGGAAGCATGTATTTACACAAGAATTATCTCGATAACATTTCTATTAGAGTGTCTTCTCCAACGATGCTGATGAGTTCCTCAATAGCCTTATATTTCTTTTGCTCTGCATCTTCTTTTATAGATAATTGCTCAGCCTATATTTTTATTAACTACATGACTAATTTATACCATTATCTATCCAACTAACCTCAGCTGCTGCATCTAGCAGCATTTGTATACCATCTGATTGAGCTGTACCATATTGAATAGATGTTTGGTTACAATTCTGAAAGAAACAGTTAAAAAAGAGGAAAGCACTTTGATAACCTTTATACATACATTCAAACTATATTCATTCCCTTTGTTAATATAAAACGCGCTATTGGAAGAATAACGGCGAAATCTAGTAGATGCGTTAGATATTGAATATATTAGAGGAAAAATACCTTCGAGAATATCTAATAAATTCATCTTCGATCGTTTTAGCTGGTACACTATATACTGTTCCTCCATATCGCATCACTTCGTCTGCTGTTTCAAACATTACTATTTCGTCATTAAGCTCTACAGCAGCTGAAGATCTTCTATGCTTTGAAGGCTACAAAGAAAGAATTACTATTAGAATGCACTATAGCTAATGTCTCACGATTTTACTTGTAAATGTTCATGATGCTGTGGACACATCCAATCCTTTCCAGATACGAGGTTGAATGGAGGACTCAAACAACTCGTATGCCACAACAACGAACAATAGTTGCATTGAAAGAGTTCTCTTTTTGTTTCTGGTGGTCCCTTTCGACAACGATAACAAATCTCTGGTTGTGAATCAGTAGACATAAAAAAGAACAAAGAAAAAAAAATAAAATTGTAAACAATTCGGCAATATACATCAGTTTATTAGGCAGACAGCATCCAATACATAGGGATATCATAGTATCTATAGAGCATTCACTAACACTTACTTGGTATATTCTATTATTTGCTCTCTTGTTTAAACAAATCTAAAAACAAAGACCATTAAAGATGCACTTTACACCTTTCAAAAGAACTACAAGTGACAATGGTTCTATACTTTATGATTGCTTTTTGCTTAAAAAATACGTATTTATTAAGCGCCTTTATATTTGTATTTTGTTCTCTCAAGTTCTTTTAATTCATTCTGTACTTGTTTCATTGTGGCGTATACAATGTGATATATGAACAAAATAAATAAGGGCAGGCACCAAAATATGGTTTCAATCCTACTACCCTTATATAGTAAGCACATATATGGCCCTATTGCTCCTAGAATACAAGATGCTACGCCCATAGATAAAGTATGATTCAAGTTGATTGATAACAGGTCAATTATTCCAAATAAATTAATATTGCATTTGACAAGTAGTGTAAGAAATGCAATAACAATTGACAGAATACTGCTTGTGGCTGACATCCGTAGAATTCCAGTAGAGCCAAAGGTGCCTGTACCTGGAAGCTTTATGGGCCCATCTGATTGAAATAGTAATACGCCAATATACCTAACAGTATTAAACCATGTAAGCAAGTATATCATTCAAATGCATATGTAATACATTAAACAAACGAAACAACTAATAACAAGTAGCCCTTTCTGCAACCTAATCATTCAATATTCTTTCTTGTCTCTCTTTCTTTGTTCAAGTTACCAAAATATTCAAGTTTGCTTTGTCATTTTGATTACGAAGATCTTCAATGAGAGTTTCTTGTTCTTTTTCAACATTAGAAAAAAGGAGCTCTTTATCAATGAGATACTAATTCCCATTTACCTACTTCATCCAAATATTCCACTTCATTCTCTAAATGAGCTTTTTCCCTTCTACGAATGTGCGTACCCTCCATTGAAATTACAATTCTTTTATAAAAGTGTAAGACTATAGCTGCTCCGCTTGTAAAGAAAAAATGTTTAAGGCAAAAAAATTACATATTCCTGCAAAGAAATAAATCAAGTGAATATATTATGCAAGCATCATAGACTCAAAGCTCTTTATTTGCCAGAAAAATGACATATACATGTAGGCGCAGTAAACACATGTTATGAAGTACTTCCTAAAATTAACTGACAAACAATTACCTTTGATACTTGAATTTTTCTGTAAAAAATGATTAAGCTATTACAAATAAAGAGGATTAATAAGAATACCAATGTTATCATCGTGTTCTTACTTTTGCGAGAAGTCTAAAACGTCATGTAAGTAAAGAAAGCGTCTTTTTGAGGACAAAAAAGAACGATCACGTGGAAATCACACGAATATCACGTGAAAAGCACGTAATATTTTGTTAGAATATATTACTCTTAAGCTTTAGCGTTTCACAAGCGAGCCCGGCTAGCTCAATCGGTAGAGCGTGAGACTCTTAATCTCAAGGTTGGGGGTTCGACCCCCCCGTCGGGCTATTCTTTTGCCGTCTTTCAGAAGGTAATAATTTTGCCGTTGTGACGATGATGACGATGAAGATGCGGTGTCACCTACCACTTTTAAAGTCAGTCACTAGTGACATTGTGTCATGAATGACTGACTTCAAATTATCTTTTTGAACAGTGAAGCACAATTTCCTTTTTTGGAATTTCAATTCGTCCAAATGCTTCCTCTTCAACTCCAAGGTCATTGACCTTGATAGTGTAGCACAGTTTTCAAAAAAAAAAAAAAAACTTTAAATATCAAAACTTTAAATATCAAAACTATAATTATCAAAACTCCAATTACTTTTTATCAAGTGTAAAAGAGCAATGCTTTTGCAAAAAGCTCAAATCATTCAATAAATCACCTACGATTTGAATCACAACCTTTTCCTTTTTATTTTTATCTTTTTTT